TGATGTCATTGTGTCCTTTTCTGCATGTGCGGGAAACTTTTGGGTCGTATGAAGTTTATACAGCAGATTGCATACAAGTCATATTTAACTGGAAATGTGAACGAACTTGCAAAAAAAATCGTATTTCACAGAAAAATCCGAATTGAGCGTTATATCCTGCAGTCTGAACGTAGCCAATCTGTCGGATTGTTAAGTCAGATAATACGCCGTTATCCTTATTTGTGACATAAAATGTCATGTTGGAGTCGGAATCCAAGGCTGTCGGTATGTTAAGGCTATTTTTCATGGATTTCGTTAGTTTTTCCTGAAAACCTGTTGGATTGCAAGGTTTTCAGATTGCTAAGGGTCGAATTATCAAGTCACGACTGTATGTAGTACAATCAATGGTTGAAACTGCAGTGGGCAAAAATCTGGAAAAGGAAAAAAAATGAAATAAAATCAAAAACAAAAACTGCACAAGCAAAGGAAACCCACCAAAACTGACATTATACCCAACTTCTTCTGCATCTCTTGGACAGCAAGACATGGTTGAAATGTTTGCTGAGTATCAAAGTAAAGTCTTTCTCCTTGTGTGGGAGTTGATTTACCATTAATCCTTTTTTTTATCAGGAATGAGCCTTTTGAATATACTGATGTCTCAAAAAGTACCATGGTTGCTAATGTCGAAAGGTGACATTTTTAGGTTACTGGAAGACTGTGTCCTTCACCTAAGCCCAGTGTATGATCCGTCATGTGCTCGTCACAATATCATGAGCTCTGGTGAGCGTTAATATAAACCCGGGAGGAGATTCAGAATTGGGATTAAAGGATGCAGTGCACTTGTGTCATGACACTGTTCTCCGGCTGCAAAAACGTATTCAGCGTAGGACATCTGAGTCTTGTAGGAGTTAACCTGGTCTCACCAGATTTCCGTCACACAGGAGAGCTGATCTAATTAGTCCTGCTAGAGATAGATGTTCGCCACACTGCTGATAAAAAAGTCTCATTATTTTCACAGCTCTGTCAGGTCTTCATGCAGGAAGATGAAAAGCAAATGTTTGGCACAGTTTTATTTATTTGATTTTAGCATTTTATATAGTTTTAAACACCTTAACATGAGTATCTTCTCAAACAGTTTGTAAAATTGTTGTTGAAGTAGGCCTTCAGGCTGACTCTGGGTGAAGCCCTTTCACCTACTGTCGTGGCTGATGGTGATAACAAGATGTTTACCTAGTTAACGTATGTGAGGGTTTCCTGTGTCTACCTTTGTGTGAGTATAAGGCGAGACCTTGGACATATATCAGTATTTGCCTGCCAACTCATTCACTAAGCTCGGCACAATGATTTCTGGTTCTTCCACTCATTTTATTTAACTGGAATTATGTGTTTTGTTTTAATCATTAAACTTTTAATAAAATGATGCTGGCACCCTAGTCTGCATCCTGTTTTATTGTTATTAAAATATATAGGAAGTAAGCACAGTAAGAATTCATTAAAAACTGAATGTCATTTATAATGGCTTAAGGAAACACATCTTTGTCTTACATCTTAGATCTCCTGTACTTTAGCCAGATGTCACCTGAACGTCAAGACGCAGTTCCACTGCAGAGAGAGTCCTTTTCCTGAAGACAGACATGCCTGGTTGCAGACAAGATGTTAAAAAGCTGACGTTGTGCCAAAGAAATGATGTACAGGAATGTCAATGTGGCATTCTGGTAGCTTGAATCTACGGTAAGCCCCTTTCCATGCTTTATCGAAACATCTGAAAGTCCAGTTTCTTCACAAATAGTTCTGGAAACAGAGTGTTGTGAGTCTAGGAACATATAAAACCAAGGTGTGTCAATGTTCTTTTCTGTCTAGTTAAATTTCATCTGTGCTGCTTGCAATGCCAAGGACACGGTAGTATCCTTTTTCTACTTTGACCACATAAACAAAGTTCAACCAGAGCATGCAGACCAGAGCAGTCACCTTCACAGATTCATGGAGACATGATCACATAAATATTGACTGAATATACAGTATATAAAAGGTTATTTGTTCTGTCTTTCAGTCATCTCTTAGTGATGTTTGGTCCCTTGTGTGAGAGGCTGGTGGGAAAGCAAACAGAGCAATTCTAACATTCTACATTTGTTGCAGATGAGGATCTGATTGAGCTGAACGCTAATGTCAACACGCGAGATTAAAACGGTTTGTTTTCGCAAGATACTGAACAGGACCTCTGCTCATTCCTGGTTCTGTCTCCTGGCAAAGAACTGAAAAAATAAGTTACAGATAAAGCTTTCTTTGTCAACATTAAAAACGAGATAGCGAATGGCTTGAGCTTTGATTTCATGATACCGCCATTCATGCACCTTGGTTAGGTCTACTTGCCTCTTTGTATGTACATATAGGGGGATAACAGAAAAGAAAATAAGAGATAAAAAAGATTTCATTGCTGGTTCTCTGTTTTACAGGCAAGGCTGGTGACTGGATGAATCATTTCACTGTTTAACAGGATCAACAGTTTGTAAAACACTATGAAATGATAAAAACACTGACCTTAACTTCCGCACAATTCTATAGTTAATCATAATCACTCGCATTCTTGCCATTATATGAAATACTTACTCAAAAAATAATTAAAACAATATGCAGATTTTGAGTTTACTCATTTTTATTTGAATCCAGACATGAAATGCAGCAAGAAATACAAGAACAAATGTCAAATGAGCAAAAATAAACAGATGAAACTAACACTGTACGTCTGCAAAGTGGCTAGAGACCAGAGGGGGCACATTGATGTGTTTTCTATGGCACATACTGCTTTGTGGGACAACACTACAGGTCCTTGAGGCCATAAAAGCAAAATGGGTAATGATGAGTACCAATACGATGAAATAATACAGGCCCATTGGAATGTAGACAGCAACACAAGGCCATTGTACTGCAAATACTAACAAGTCAAGCATCTCACATCACTGGGAGGTACTGCAGGTCACACCGAGGTAACCAGAAAACAAGTAATGGACTGGCTCTAATCAGGAACAGAAGCATAAGTAGCTGGATTTTAGTCCAAATAATAGTTAATCCACCTTAAAACAAAATGACGTGTGATTAGTACATATTCAAATTGGCATCCCACAGTGGCATTACAGTAAGCAATCTGCGCGAGCATTTTTTTGAATAAAAGTGTTGGAACAAAACCTTTCAAATGTAAGACTCCCCCCCCCAAATATGTTTATCATCATTTAATGAGGGAAAACATAAAACAGAAGTCAAAATGACCACTAACTATACATTTTTGCAAAACCTGCATCATTATTACAATCCTGAGCACAGCCCAGAAAGTCCTTGACTTAACTTCTGCGGTCAAGTATCAACCGTCACCGCTCTGCATGTCCTAAATAGGCCACAATCTGACGTCAAAATAGCATAACTGTCTGGACAGCTCAGACACATAAGCAATACCACTTTAGATTGTCTTTCACAGTAACAACTATGACTATGTTTCAAATACACCTTTATTCATGAACATCAAAAATAACATTTATTTACACTGTTGATTATACATCATATATTTGAAAGATATTTTCCTCTTGAGTAGTAAAATACTTCAGTCTAGTGCTCAGGCTTACAGTTAAGTGCTCTGTTAATGGGTTAGGTCTAGTACAAGACTTCTGAGGTTCATGCCAAGCCAGTCTTGTGTGTTGCAGCCTTGCAAAGCTGTATAGCATGTAATTAGATATCAAACAGTTGGAATTGTTTCATTGCAACTGACAGGATCATCATTGTATTTATTAGTCTTATTCAGACTCTGCAAAAAAAAAATGCAGTTGGATGCTTCAATTACACAAGATTATTGATTGCAAAGCTTTGTCCTGCAGAAAATTAACATGATAAAATGCATAAACCACACAGGAGACTTTCATGTTGAAGTCTGGCAATTTCATCAACAGCTAAAAGCCTCAGCAGCAGTTTCACATGTAAGCATGCGTCTGCATGTTAGTTATGTTTCTGGCTGTTGTTTACTGCCTGCCTCTTTACGTAACCAGTTTTAACATACAAGGCAACCTGGACAAGTACAACGGCAGCAGCGAGTTAAGAGCTTAGATGGAATAATCTGCAGCTGAGTCACTATGATACTAATGCTAAGACGCTAGATGGAGTTAACCCAAATAATGGGTTTATAGAACCATTAAAACTAGCACAGAAACCGACCATGATAGTATATGGCACATCTTTACATCACAAAGCATATATTATGGAAGACAGCAAATAAACTCTATGTAAGCAATTAAACTGACGACTGATGATATGCAGACATTTTTTCATAGAAAGAACAGAAATGGGACTCACAAACACTCAGAGCCACGTTTGTTGTATACCCTTCAAAACGTTGTGGTGCTCAGCATGTTCCCACACATGGAGTTGGGTGACCTAAACCTATCTTTTGCGTTTCATACATTTTGCGAAGATGAAATTCATCACCAACACAAATTTGTAGCCAATCACAAGCACGGACCAGCTGAAGAGCCATCCATAGTATGTATGGTCCCAGTGTACTTTAGATTTTACCAGTGTTGTACAGACAAGAAAAATAGAGACATGATGTGTGAGAGAAAGAGATGGAGAGAGTTAGACAAAAGTGTGCGGTGTTGTTTATCTGTGCTATATCTCCCCATTTTGCTCCCAGAGTAAAGTGTTTACCGGATATCTTTTCCTCAAACGCAGTTGTTAAACCCTTTAGCAAGACAAAAGGCAACTAGGTGATATATTTTATGTCATCACCCAGATCCTCTTTTTCATATTTTCCCTCATCTGAAAACAATTAACTTCAGGCAGTTTAATGATCAAACTATCCCAATACCAGAAGTCCTAACCAAAGTTCTGGGTAGGAACAGTATGTTTGTTTGCTGTGCAGTCACTGGTCCTCCATGGATTACTTCACAAGTCAATAATTTCACTGCTGACACTAGCAGAATCGTCATGTCGACTGACTTCCAGGTAACTGCGTGACCCAACCGGCCTCCCAGCTCTCCCTCGCGCCCTCTCAGAGTCTGGGGTGATAAATGGTCGTGTGTCATCCACTCCATCCTCCCCCAGATGCCCCGTTGACGTTCTAGAGGGGCGTAGTGACACAGGGCAGGACACTGATGAAGGGACACTTCCTACCCCATTCGCAGCCCACCTGTGACCCTGGTGGGATGGCGTGGGGGGAGCAGTAACCTGCCTGCTGGGCACACTGCTGAGGACGCTGCCACCCAGTGGCATGGAAGACTCCGTCGGTGCATCGCTGCTCTCAGAAAGCATCTGAGGGTCACTGTTCCTGCGGAGCCAGGGCCCTTGGCTGACCCCTGAGCCTGGGGAAGGGGATTGTGAGGCCTGATTCAAAGGATGAAACAAGCTCCCTCCTCCAAGCAGGTGTTCTCTGTGCAGAGCCTCATCAATACTACGGGTCAGGTCTATGGGGGAAGGGGGCCGCAGATCAAACTCATAGAGAGACAGGGATGTGTCCCTGTCCTGATCCAGACTGCCACTCACTGAGCGCTGTGGAGGTCGGCCCAAAGCCTGTAGTCTCAGCAGGGAGCCAGTGGAACCATCAGATATACCTCGTTCTGCAGAGTGGCCTCTGTGGTTGCGTCCTCGGTTGCTGTCTTTGACGCAGCGTGGCTGGGCAGTGGCCTGTTCATGGTTCTGGTTCCTTATTAGACTTTTGCTAATGTCAGCTCCAGGACGCTCCTGGCCAGCCCAGTTGTTGGGCACCTCACCTGTTCCTCCTCCTCCTCCCCCTCCTCCTCCCATACCATTACTGTCAGATTTTCTACAGGGCTTCCCTCTCAGGCTCTGGACTATCTTCGACCAGCATGTATGTCTTTGAGTGGAGCCTACAGACTGCCCAGGGGATGGTAGGTCTCCTGCCACTCTGCCATCTTGTCCACCTTCCTCTCTTCCCCCGCAACCATGGGGCCTCCAGAACAACCAGGAACCCAGGAGTAGGAGAGAGAACCCCCAGGCCAATTCAAGGAGCCGGGCCCAGAAATGCACGAGCCACCATCCCCAGTTGAAGCGTGTCCAGTCTCCTAACAGTCCATAAAGCCACAAGGTAGCATGGACATGCAAACCACAACACAATGCCCCCAGAACTGCACAAACTGCCAGCACTCTCCCCAGAATCACTCCTATTCTCCTGCTCCCTGTCCAAGTCTTTCTTCTGGCCTCTCCAGGGACAGCAGGGTGGGGGATAGGAGGGCAGCGTATGCGTGGGAAGATATAGCATAGAAAGCCCAGACAGAGAGTCAGGCCCCAGCACAGGGACAGGACCTGTAGGGTAACAGGCACCAAAGGAGAGAGGGCTGGGGAGAGCAGATCAGCCGCCAGCAGCAGGGTGCACTGCAACACAGCTAACACAGCCACCAGAGGAGGGCGCTCCAGAGTTGAAGGTAACACACTGACTCCTGCCACCCTCAAGGCCAGCAGTGCCAGGGCAGCCTGCGTCCACACCAGCAGATGCAGAGGCAAGTTGTAGAGGGCTGTAACTGCGGGGCGAGGGAGGAATTTTCGTGTGCCATAGGGGTCGATAAGAAAGAGAGCTGCTCTAAGGCCTCCAGCCAGAAATAACAAAGCGTTGGCAAGTGCAAGAGCACCCCGATGAGGACAGTTTGTGCCAGGGGACAGGGTCAGGCCAAGAGCAGCTCCAGCAAACAGGAGGAGGAAGAGGCTTGCTGAGCCATAGACATGTAGTTCCCAGGCAAAAGCCAGCGTCCGGCTCAGATCTCCCCAGTAAAGGAGTGTGCCATTAGGAGAGGGATTGGCACTGGGAGAAGGGGCTGGATTAGTCGTAGAATGGGGAGCTAGGTGAGGACGTCTCAGGAGAAGAGAGCGGTTCCTCTGACTGATACCACTCTGATATGTAGGTCCAAATCTTGAGCGAATGACAGGCACAACACCGGTGGTAGGAGAGGAGGAGGTCCCTAGAAAAAGAGAAAGAAATAGATTTAGTTTTAAAAATCAGATATACGTTAAACAGATATGTTAAATTCTTTGTAAACGCCATTTATCTGCAAAGAAGTAGAGTAACATAAAAGTACATGAAGTACTTTTCAGCACCACTAGAGGGACGTAGCACACCATTTAAAGCTACAACCATTTGATCCTCTGGACTGTGTGTAGTAACTTAATCAGTTTGGCAGAGATGCATTGTCCAAGGTCTAAATGTGTTTTTCAACGCAAAGAGAGATTCTACACAGATAAAGCAAGTTGTACATTTTATATCTATTTAAAAATCATACTGAATTTGTATCAGTCTTTGTCTCTTCACTCTGTGAATATTAGTCTGTTGCTATCATCTGTATAACTGTACATGAATACACAGTGTAGTGTGGAAATAACAAACCTAAACCACAAACAGTGTCTATTTGTACAAAATTTCAAGATATACAGATTACATACAGGCACTAAAATGCCACACAACTCAATGGCAATCAAAAAACACGAAATTACGCCCCTGCAAATACCAGCATACAGGTAAAACAGCAGTCACCCTGTACAAAAAGCTTCAGGTTGATCACCCACATTACACTTACAAACATATCTGTATGAGAAACTCCTAGAAGTAATTGTGTGGCTTAATTGGATTAGATTATGTAATTAACAAGAACATCTTTGTTATGCAACACAGTACAGTGTCACAATGAATTTATGAACCAGGGAAATGCTCTGCTCTGCTCTTTGCAGCATTATAAAATACAAAACAACCTCGTGGGACAAGACACTTTGACTACATGGCATCTCACTCTCTTTCTTTCTCTCTCTAATTTCCTTACGTTCACACACACACACTTCTCTTTGTTCAAGGCACTCCACCCTAACCTCATGCAATACCCTGGAAACACCCACAGCATTATAATCATAGAGCCAATCACAACTGAGCCCTTTGTGAGCAACTCAACTGTAAAGATAACACACACTGTAAAAATAAAAGGATTGTAAAAGGATGCAGAGGAGCCAAGTGAGCATAAGTGTCATAATTTTGAAACACTTTAAAGGAAAAAAGGAAATACATAAAGTATGATGACTCTATACCTGATGTAGAACTAAGAAACCTCTTGCTTAATAGTCTTTCTCTTGAATGATTCTTAGGAACTGTTCTACACATGTTTAAACTCGATGGATGGTGGAAGAATGTGATCAGTGGTAAAACCCTAAAACCGCCACTTGAAGGACATTAAACCCGTCCTCACCCTGTAAAAGACACGAATACAATTGACGCACAGACTAATGAGTCACTCTGACATATGTTTCGCCTTCTCCCCTCAGTCTATTCCTCCCTCTCTCTCTCTCTCTCACTGACACACACACACACTTCACATTCAGGCTTCACACATAGGTGAGCACTGCATACAGATCACAGACACACTTCTTTATTTATGTAAAGGTATGTTTTACTTCCTTCCCTCAGACTTTTTTTTTTTCCCTTACAGGAGCAAGCTCCAGACACATTCCAGATGTGCCGATCACATTACACAGCTGGAGATACTTAAACTTACCCCTACCTTTGAGTTTTCTCTTTAACACACACTGATTTATATATTCACATGTTACAATGAACTAAAAAATGAATATCCTGTTCCATCTCATAGGAAATACACTCATGTTTAGGACCTCGTTACAAATGGGAACACACACACTTAGAGGAGTATCACTGATTTTAGAATGTAACATTAAGTAAGTTTGGCATAGTGGCCAAGCCAGGTTACTACAACTTTGCATTCATGGTGTGACGCAAATGGGCCCAAAAAACATTTTTCCTGTACACAATCCTGGGAAAAAAGGAGTGGCTGTAAAACAGTGAATACATTTTTCTGAATGTCACAAACTACACTTACTCTTTTTATTATCATAATCTGACCACTTTGGTCCAATAACATTCTGAAAGTCTCAAAAACTCTGCACTTCTTCTAACCCTTTGAACTCGAGTTTCTGGGCGTTCCTGGCAAGTGGGCTAATTTCACTGCAATATAAAGTCTTGCTCCTTTATGGAAACAATAAAATCCTGGCTAGAAGAAGGGGAAAAAAAACTCTAAAATGTCTGCTGTGGAGTTTAACAGAGTTATAATACTATAAATCATAAAAAATTAAAGTTGAATGTATTTGATTTATTTATTAAAAAAAAAAAAAAAAAAACTTGAATCAACACATACAACATGTTCTCCAAGTGCCCCAGATGTTACCAATACTGGAAAAAACAGTGACTCTACATACTACAGATATTTTACTGCTTATACTACTTTAATTCCTGTCCACACTTGTCTCCTATCTGCTCTGTGTAAACACAGCCTGCAGTTCAGCCCACTTCAGCTGAAAAGTCCCCGAAACTCTGTCACATGACTGTTGGTGAGTTGCTGAGTCACTAATGGATTCATGAGCAGTGCAGACATTTTTTCTTAACCGAATCTGGTCAGCAAGATGGTTTACTTTTTGACAAAAGTGTTTTTGATTAAATATCATGATGTTAAGATTTGGTTACATTTTCTGATGGAATAAACACATGACAGATGAGTGGTATAGGACCTTGGAAAAGTTAAAAATCCAACAAATGTTTCTGATTTTACAGTTTCCGGCTCTAGAAAAAGGTGTAATTTTAGACATTTAAAAAAACATGTTTTTCAGACCGTTGAGCCAATTTTGGGCTTTAGATGGTTAAGTGAAGTTTTGGACATCACAGCACATTCTCTGTCAGCTCAAACTGGGAAGAACTCTCAAGCTACAGTATGTAAAATTTCAATCAGACTTTCATTCCACTTGAAAGCCAGGTTGGCCAGTGGAGCTTGGACATTCACCAGAAACACATTTATGGCATTTGACAGAGTTTCTGTCTACGTACCTGTGCTGTAGTGGTGCTGCTAGCTCTCCTATGAGAGGCTTCAGGATGTGTCTGTGCTAGTTGTACTTATTCTCTTTATTGCATTTAACATGAGTGTTTGTTAGTCCTAAATTTCTTGTCAAGCTCAGAGCCCATTTGTTCTGTTTACTGCCACCACGGAGAGATAAATCTTGTTCATTTAAAATGTCAGTCTTCAGTGTTTAACAGACTTGCTAATGCCAATATCGCCGCAGATATATGTATGTGAGAGACCCAAACTGGGACTACGGTTCACAACCTGGGGCTAGCCAGTGTTCTACTTTTTATATTCAACGCAGCAGCTGCTACCACAGTCGGGACTGTCAAAACAGACCTCGAAGTCTTGCCTATTATGTCACTGTTAGGGACAAGCCAGTGAATTTGGTTAAACCAAACTAAGCTCATTTTGAACAGAAAGAGAATTGCCTGAAGCATCATATGCCAAAAGAAATCCATGTTTACAGCACAAAAAAATGGCATGTAGTTCTTTTAAATGTGCTCTGTATGAAAGCCTGAATGTTTAAAAGACATTAAGATGTTATTCTCATGGTATCTAAGAGACTGGCTCATGTGCCCCATGTGTCATGCTTTTCCTTTTCCATTCACTTTTCCTCATCTCCCCTCCCTTCATCCCTTTCTCACTGCATCTGGTTTTCATTACTATCCCCACTCCCTGCATTTCTGTGCCTGTACCTTCCTTCTACCACACTTTCGCCCACCCTGTCTACTCTCTCATCTGCATTCCCAACAGTCTCTGTTTTAGACCCCGCTTTTCCCCTCTTGTCTCTTATCTCTTTGCCTGCCTGCAATTCTGCCCCCTCTTCGATCCTGCCTTTTAGTCCTGCTCGTACTTTCCTCCCTCACTGCGTCTACCCCACACAGCTACAACCCCACTTTCCATGGAAAAGTGTCTCTGCTTTTTCCCTGGCTTTGAAGCCTTTTTTTCCTCAAATTCTTCCACTGAGAAAGTCCCAGCTGCACAAATAACTCCATTTTAAATTATCAGAGGACAAAGGAAACTCTAAAACTAGTCCACTACAGAACACAAGACCCTTGTTTCTTACCTGTGCTCGACAACTGCACAGTTGTGCTTGCTGTATGCCTTCCAACTTGTACTGTTATGCTGTGTTGAGATGTTGTTCTTGAGGATGTTCTCACAGCCTCCTGTGTGGTAGGAAGCACACCAGTTGTAGATGTGTTTGACATTTGTGGTGTTGTGGTGTTTGAATGTGAACTCTTCTGGCTTTGGGCAGTAACTGGATGTCCGGCAGTTGGTGGGTGTTTATCAGCAGAGCCAGTGGTGTTAGACGTGGGTTGGGGTAATGTCACAGCAGCAGAGTCCTGCCTTGGACTAACTCTGGCACTGGAGGGAGTGTTTGCTGCCAGGTCACCTAGAAATTTGAGGGAAAGACCAAATTGTGACATGATGTGACATTCGACCTCTACCCTTTACAGCCTTAAAGCATTCATTCCAACATATATGGTTTCTAACCTGTTAATACTGCAGTCTGAGGTGTTGCCACGGGGGCCAGTGTGCTTCTTGTCTTGGTCTGTAGAGTTGTAGAGATCGTGCTGGTTGTGCTGGTAGTTGTCTGTGCAAACAGGTGAGGTTTCACAGTCTGACTGTCCAGTGATGGGGTTTTTACGTTAGAAACGTTAGATATCACTGTCTGTGCTTGTGGTCGATACTGTGCCATCTCATCATCGACTGTTGGCAGAGGAGCCGGTGATTCCTCCTTCACAAGCGTCACTGTCGGAGAACTGCCTGATCCTAACCCTTGTGAATCGCTGTCCTCATTCTCTTTGACCAATCCCTCCTCTGCTTTCCTTGTCGTCATGGGCTTATCACCTGCAGGCTCAGCTACAGCAGTGGACGGCAAAGTGGGCAGAGGAGGAGTTGAGCCTTTTGTCGTAGCATCCCCCTTTGTGAAAGCCCGGCTGAATGCTAAACTAGCTGTGTCAGTTCTGGGCCTGGAGGCAGTTGGTTGCGTTGCAATTGGCCCACTGCTAAGGTTATGTGTAGAAAGGGCAGATATAAAAGAGGGATTAACCTGTGTGGTTGGGCGGGTCATTTTTTGCCCCTGCTCCACTATATTGATAGTTGTTAGCCTATCCCGGACTGTAGGTCTGATGGGTACATCACTGCGCCCTCTGGGAGGCAAAGAGGGCCAGAATCGAGCGGTCTGCTTGGTTGGTGAAGGTGAAGAGTTGTTAGGCAGGTCCAGATGGGAGAAAGAGGAAGATGAAGCTATGATGGTCTGAGCATCTGAAATATGGAGGAAGGAGAAGGGGAAGGCCAGGAACAGGAGGGACATGGGAGCCATGGTCTGCCTCTGAGCAGTGACTGGTCCCTCTGGATGTCTCAGTCTGTCTGTCACACCATCCTTCCACTGTGTTTCTGTTGAGAAAACCAGACAAGCAAATGTCATAAACACCTCAAACAAGCATAGACTCATAAAAGCATTATGCACATATAAACACATTGTACGGGTTATTTCTGTTGGTTCGGCTCAGGAGAAAAAAACCTGACTTCTTTGTAGACGTTGTAGAGGTCTTGTGGATTTAGCAGCAGCGGTCAAAAGCTCACTAAAACTGAATTCAGGAAATAGTTTGAATCAGTAAGAATCTGTGGTCATATCTAATTTCAGGGGGGACATGTTGCAACTTTTCTAGGCTGATTCAGAGGTCAAGTCACTGAAACTCCCACAGACTTTTAGCAGCTAGACACCAGCGGGCGCACAGGGTGTGGTAAGGTGTATGGTTTCAGAATACATGGCGCATATGCCGACACACAAGCACACACGAAGGGAAGAGTTGAGCCTCTAAGTTATATAACAAGTTGCACCAACAAAATGATCAAGCCAAAAAACCAAAAGGAGTCGCAGATGGTTTCATTCAGTGGCAGATGTCCTCACTATCTGTGTCATGAAATGTTTTTTGGAAGAATATTAGTTTCTTTTTCTTCCAAAGTCTTGATTTTTCTTTGTTCTAAGCAGCAGGACTCTGCTTCCTTTACTGCTAGTGCTGTTTGAGTCATGGAGGCCAAGAGCCGACAGCTGTAACACCGAGTGTGGTGAATCTCAGAGAGCCCAGTGACACATAGAAACCCCCAGGCCCTTGAGGATTACACAATCCTATAAGTCATTGAGCCAAACAGATGCCAGTCACATCCCCCCTAAACAAGCACTTCTTATCAAAAACCAACCCTTTTCTTTTTCTCTAACTTACATAAACCTTGCTTGTTCACACCAGTTTCAATCTATGACTCACAGCAGGAGATAACCTCAGGGAGTCAGGATCATAGTAGAACTTCAGGTGAAACATTAGAAGGGAAACCACAGAAAATAGAAATCACCACCTATAGGTGAGTTCACTCTGCTGCTTATGACTCACTTTGGGTCCATTCACAGCCATGACGTTTAGGTCTTAGAAAAAATGACTGCAGCTGCACACCACGGCTGGCATGTACATTTTACACTCATGAACACGTGTAAAGTGTGAGTAATCAGTATGAGCGTATGGAAAATGTGTTTAAGTGTGTGTGCAGTGAAGTGGGACGTCACAGTGTATACTGTTGGTATGTGTGAAAACTAGACCAGCGTGCTGTTTACTAAGTGTTTGCAGTGCTACACAAGAGCATCTGAAGTGAAAAACTGTCAATGAATACATTAATATAAGTGGTAGTATATCTCAATCTCCACCCACTCACAGTAGCCTCAGCGTTTATTTTTCTTCCTGTCTCAGTTGCCTCTTCTGCTCTCCCTAGTCGGCTGCTGGCCAAGAACCATTTCTCCCTTTTCTTTCTTTTCCTCTTGTACCCCATTTAACTGCTTTAACACAGTCCTACAGCATGCTCCTGGGTAAAAGAGAGCCCTGAAGACAGATATAAGTTAAAAAAAGAAGGAGGGGAATGTATTAATGGCAAGATGAGAAAGTGGTTCACAGAGAGGATGGGCAAGAGAGACGAGAGAGAAATGGAAAAGTGGAGAAGGTGGTGGAGGAGGCATGATGTGATGAAGCTGACAGTGGAGGGTACGATTAAGCGAGGGGGTGACAACTGAGGGGATGTGAGACAAAATGAAGACTGAAAGAAGTCGTGAGGATTGTAAATTTAGATGATGGAGAGAGGGTGGGGGTAGCTAAGTGACAGAAATTTGCAGAAACCAAGGGGCAGAATATTTGAAAAAAAGAGAACTGGACACATGGAAACTATGTTTCAGGACTAACAGGCTTGTTATGGGCCGAGTGCAGATATGACCATCTACCCAGGAGGCATGCAGACAAACTGAGCCTGCTTCACAGGTGTGCCGTTTCTGGCAGTTAAACATAAACAATCTGACTGTTATAACATGGTTTTCAGTAAACATACCAATATCTTGATCCAAAAGCAATTGAGCATGTGTCAGCCTATTTGTATATGTATGAAGGTAGGTAGTAGAGATTAATGAGTCTCAAAAGGCATTTGGCCAAATAAGCTTCAGTGAGAGGGGGAAAACACTTTGCTGCTGTACTTGAAACGCTGTCAGCATTAATCTCATCTCCACGCATTATCCAAAGGCACAAACACACAGACCCACACAGCTGTGGTTCGCCAAAATGTTCTTTTTGACTGGAGCTGGGCAATTTGACTACAATTTTCCACTGAACTAATACAAATGGGGTAAATTTGGGCCGAATGGCAGCTCTTCTCAGCAGTCTGAATCACAGGCCAGGAGCAGGCTTGCCATTTCTAACCACACAACACAGACCAGATCAATCTAACCAGCTGTTTTGGTGTTTGGCATGTATGAAATTCGGCCTCCTCTCAGCCCTCCATGGCACATCTTAGCTTATTGTATCCCATTATCCTTCAGCAATGACTGAAACACACACACACACACACACGCTCTCAGAAATAAGACAGCACATCCCTCTGTGACTGTCCAGGGGGAGAAGGCAGATGGGTGCACAGTCAGTCAGAGTATTTTTATCACGTTCAGCCCCTGGGGGCCAAGGGACACATCACTTTGTATTTCATTTGCACTGTGCATGTGCATGTTGTGTCGATGTCGTCACACTCTCCTGCACAATATGTGCTTTGTCCAGAGCAGGAAATGCCCATGGATAATATCCAATAGTACAGCAGCAAGCAACAATCTGAAGATTACTATAAACTCCTTGCCCACACTATAGACCTGCTGGTTACACAATCATATGACTCAGTACTACAGCAGCTGTTGCTAATCTGCTAATCGTTGCAATGGTGATGTCACGTCTACATGAATGTCTTAATATGAACAGCTAATGTTCAAACTTTGTGTAGGGAACCAAGCACAGGGTGTGGGAGGTGGTGTGGGGGTGCAGTCAAGTGTTTGGAGAATCTCCCTTTTTTTTTTTTTTTTGCAAATGTTCTATGTCGGACTCCAGACAGTCTGACAGTAAAAAATTTCCATTAATTTGAGTGAATATTTCCATGGGCAGACATGAATCTGTGGACAGAAGGATACTTGTGTTTTGAACAAAGGCTGAACCAATGTACACTTGTTTCCCTCAGGGCTGAGTATCGAACTTCAATAGCTTCAGACCAAAAAATTGTCCTAAACACAGAGTGTGGAAAAGCTCGGAATGTCTGGTTAGATTTGTAATCTTGTTTTCTTAGTCGCTGATCAGATAGCTCCTGAATAAAATTACAATTAGGCTAAATTTAGACTGTAATTTTCTTGTTTACTTAATGTCTTGCACAGCTGCTGGTGCTTAGACAACAACATGGAAACCTTTGGCTTCTTTTTAAAAGATTTGCTATATACATATTTTAAATCCACGTTCTGCTACTGCAACTCTGGTACATCTATGCAAATACTGAGATAAAATTTGCATGCTTGCAGCTTGACAAGTGAGTAGGTTGTCTGACACAGTGGGGCTGTCAGCTGAATGTTGATGCTCATATTTTCAATATTTAAATGCTTGAGCAGTTAATGTTAACCATATTTATTGTGTGTTAGGATAAAAACATTTGCTAATTAGCATTAAAAACTAAGTAAAGCTGAGACTGATGGGGATGTCTGCATAGTTATGCATAGATTTTGTCAAAAACTAAAGTACTGGAAAAAATAAATGTATACCTGATGATGGTGTTAGATGAAAAGTCCGGGGATCTCCAAGTTGTAACTTATACTAAAAGAGGTAATAGTCAATCAATAACTGTTCAAATGTTTCACTCATGTAGACATATATTAATCTTATGGTTGCACTAGATGGGAGAAAAATCACAAGATAACCACAGTCAGTGGGATTCATCCTCTGGGGACAATAAATGTCCGTAGCAAATTTCATGGACATCCATCCAGTCATAGACTGAGTGTCCAAAAGCTTAGTGGACTCATCCAATGTAAAGGTGGCTCTCTAATGAGCAGGACTTAATAGTCTGAGCTGAGAAGAAAAGCTTGTTAAGTAATGATAGGAAAGAACATGCACAGAGAAAATGAGAGAAGATATAAACCTTTCGAAAAAGTCTGCTGAGGTACCATAGGAAGGTCACTGAAGACACAGTGGAGATGGGCAGACATGAAGACAGAGGAATAGTAAAAATGAATGGAGAGAAAAAGCTAGCAGAATAAAGGCAGACATAAGCTGGAATAAACCAGCAGAGAGCTGTGTGTCTCTGTGGACCTCTGTGCTGCAACGCAGTTAAGCATTACTGCTCGCCCATCAGCTTGCCGTACAGATGTATAACTTGTTTGTGTTGCGTTATGGAGGGGGAGAGGTGAGACTGTAAAGCAGTGTATGTGTGTGTATTTGTGTGTACGTGAGACAGAGTAAGAAGCAGAGAGAGGGGGGAAATGGAAGAAGGAGTGCGTGTGGTTATGCTGGTATGCGAGTGGTGGGGGAGGTTGCTGGTTTGACCGTTAAAAATTCCACACCTTGAAATAACATATGGATTGCAAACAACTCCCACAATATACTCTCACTACCACATAAAATAATCTCAATAAAACAGGAACCTAACTGTTGTGTTTAAATATTAAGACAAACACAAGCTCTGAACATGCATAAGACAATCTCCAGAAAGTTTTCCAGGTGAGGTCACACAACTTCTACACCTCTGCCTCAGACTAAAGCTGTCCATTTAGCTCTTAAGACAAACCAAAGTCTGTTAAAGATGCCTCTCTCGTGGTGCTCTGCTGCCTGGGGGGGTGTCAAAACTCCAGTGGAGCGACCGACCACACAGAGAGGTCATGCTATATGAGGAGAGGAGGCTCCAGAACCAATCGCTGATGCTTTTGATCCCCAGTTGAAGCGGATGTCCAGCTTAAAAGTGCTGAGCCCTCAACATCTTTGACTGATGTTCCGCCTTCATGCAAGCCACAGATCAAAGGCTGAAGGTCAGCCTTAAAGGGTAAGGCACTTTAACTGCACTGTGACCGCACGCACAAAAACACACACCTAGACAGACACAGTTGTCTGAACACGAGGGTAAACACAGACTGGGAATATGGACACATGATAGGTGACCAAGTAAAGAAAAGCTCACCAGAAATGTTACATTGTCTATACCACTGCAATAAATAGTCATGGCTTTACTCCACAATGATGTTCAAATTAGCACTCACACATTCCCAGAAACACACCCTATAAGATAATGAGTCTGGTGACTGATTGAGACTGCTGCTAAACCATGTCAAGCCGCAAAACACTCTCAGGAAAACAGATTACAGGCATCACAAGTCATAAACTGTTTGCCACTACTGGGGGTTAACCGCAGCTTCACTTCAACCCAGGACTCTCACATTGTTACAGCTGGATGCAATAAAATTGTGTTGTGGGCCAACTACTAAGTTTGTGAGCAAGTTTTCATGTAAAACAAAGTATTAAGTTGTACGTGGATATTCTTGACACATTTACAACTTCAAAAAAATTGAATAATGCAGGTACTGGACCACTTTATCTTTCCAAAGCTAAAAAAGATCCAAAGCCATAAAAGAACTTATGACCAGATCAGGTTTAGTGTTTAAACTTTATTGATATATGGATGTCTTGATGAACTATGCTTTATTTTCCACTATCTGAAGGTCTGTCTGTTCTGTTTTGGCAAGTGTGTCATGTCTGCTGTTAACTTGAATGTATTATTTACCTATCCTGCCAGTTTAAAAGGCTCTGGCTCAATGTATGAGTGAATGATAACTTTTTTAAAAACAAAATAAGCCATTCAAGTACACCTTTTATGGGATACTGAGGCATGCAGTCATGGATCATCTTCTGTCCTGTTACACCCCTTTTCTCTTTCAAAGCCCCTCTTCTCCGTGAAAACACTATCAAAGCAGCCAGTAAATCTTTCTTGAGCTGCTTTAGAAGTGGATAGAGCCTGTTTCTCTTGTCAGAGGATCAGGGTGGGTTGGTTTTTCTCTTGAATTGAAGTCATCTGGCATGGCCCTGTGTTTCATCCAGTAGCACTGTTTGGAGCAGCTCTGCCTGTGCGCTCTGAGAGAGGCGCTTTGGCGCGGTTCCCTTACTTTTGCTTTCTTTCTCCCTGCGCTTGTAAAAGGAACAGATCATCCACAGAAGTGCTGCAGCGGTTATTTCCATGTAGAGCCAGGATAGTTCTGGCAAACACACTGTAAACACACACACAAGACACACAACATGCACCTGCCAGCAGCAGCGGCCCCATAAAGCAATAGTACTCCACTTGTTGCTGTTGCACCAAACTGCACACTGTTTTTCTCTACTTTTCTGATCAGATGGGATTTGCAATTCCTGTGATGTTTGGGGAATTTAGGATTGACATACAAATTAACGAAATAAACAAGCTGGTTGAGTCGGCTATGTTGGCAATAGCTAATAACACTGAACTGAACCGTTACAAAGGATCATGAGCATCTACTGTTGTTAACACGCTTGTAGTTATGCTAATGATACTGTCAGACGTTAGCAAAAAAAAAAGAGACAAACTTTGCTATTGTAAAAGGTTGAGGAAGGTTTGGGATAAAAAATAAAACCCACAAAGCCCCGGATATAACTCTGGTTTTATATATTTCATTCACAGGCTGCCGTTTTCTCAGTTGGTCACGAAAAGCAGTAACGACGTTACGTTACCGTCGTAGCGGCAGCAGGACGCCGTGATGGCTTCAACTGATAAAATTAGCCCAAACTGCCGCTTTCTGTCGCTCACCTTACACCACAGGAACACGCTCCGACTCCCTGTAACTTCGTTCATTGAGTTGACACGGGAAAAACCAGGTACAGATAACAGGAAAAAAAAAGGTACCACAAAGCTTCGGTGTGTTACATGAACGTAGTAACCCGGAGCCGCCGGCCGTTACCGCCGCGGCACAGGTAGCGGCAACGTCACTGCGCAAAGTACCGCCGCATAGCAGCCAAACGTACCTACAGCTCTGCGCGGCTCCTCTCCGATGGCGTCCGCTGCGGCAGGATATCAGGTCCGGGACATACCGATTCAGCGGAGGGAAAGGAGTTTGGAAGGTGCAAGCCCAGGTTCACCGCTTCTCCCCCGCAGGATGGAGATGAAACCGCTCCCGTGTCGACATACAGAGAGGTTCAGCAGCCTTGTGCCGCTGCCAGCTCTCTAGCCATGAGCTAGTACGGAGACGCACGCCCCCTCCGTCCGCTCCATCTCTCTCCACATCGCTCCCTCCCTTCCTTTTTTTTTTTTTTTTTCTTCCTTCCTCGCAAGCGGATCAACACGATTGCCTGCCTACCTACCTAACCAACCTACCGCTTGGCACGCCTGTTACGCAAGAGCGCAGCTTCAAGCCTGAGCGCTTCATCCACCTTTTACCAGAGCAGCCTGTTTAGACTGTGGAAATATGACGACACTGGCACTGACATCATCACAGCTTGCAGTACTATCCAATATTTTTTTTCTTCTTCCTCCTCTCCCTTACATTTATGCTGAACCATTTATGCTCTTCAAAGCTGCTTGTTCAGGTGCTGTGAAAACAGTGACATATGCTCATGGAGACACCTGACATTTCTTGCAGAGTGGTGCAGCAGCAGCAGGGACAATAAGATGAAACTCTAGCCTCCCTCTCCTCTCCTGTCCTCCAGCCACCCTGAGCCAATTTGATACTGTTTCCTCATGCTGCCTCCCCCCCTGGGCTCAATGCCTCTGCTTGAGCCTGATTGTCTCACACAAACACAACATTCTCCAATCTGGACATGCTGTCGAGGCTGCAGCTTTCACCCCGATTGATCCCCAAATCACCTATCCACTGTGTAATTGTCACTTTCATTAGGTCGTTCGGATTGTACAGTGGAGTCCCAGAATAACATGTGCGGCTCAGAGGATTGTACTAATGCCATTGCATTACTACTGAGCCAGCAGGGGACACCGAAGGGTTTGTACAAGTGGATGCTTCAGGATGGTAATCACATTATTGTACACAGATTATGATATATATTCTATAGACAGGGGGATAAGTATTAAAATTCTATTAATACAAAGCACATATAGAAGAACAGGGTGTGGACATTTAGATAAAAGATGGCATGTCATTTATATTATCAGCACAGTGAGCATGCTTTGTGTGTCTCCTTCAGTGTAATTGAGTGCTGTCAGCTGTAACAAGATTGCAGTAATCCGGTGTAACGGGACAAGTATGATTCACAGATGTTCATTAGAAGCGTGAGATATATTTACATCAGTTCGGCCGCTTTCACCCTCATTGTCTTTTAGTAAATACCTAAACATTTATTTTTCAAACTGATTCCCATAAAACCAGACATCCAGACCATCTTCTCTTCAAAAAAACAAAATGTGGCCACTTTTCTCTAAATTACTTTGGATGCAGATATTTTGAATTCCTTTTTTTTCTCGGTCTTCTCCATGCAGTTACATATCCATCTTTCTTTTGACATGATGCATCAGATTTGCTCATTTTTATCCCTCCCGTCCATCTGATGTGGCCTGTATAAGCCTGTAGCTTAATGACCTTTCCTGTCAGATCCAGTTTACTTCTATTACTATGCACTTGTGGGCAAAATACAAATAAATAAATAAATAAATTTAAAAAAAAAGAGCCCGATGAGTCTTTCCTCTTGCACAGGTGTGCTCTCCTCTTGTTTGAATTTTAAACAGGCATGCAGGAGTAGCTCAGGGGTGTTCTAGTCCTTCGGGAAGAGATGAAGGACGTCATAAATGTGAACATTGGCAGTGGCAGGTTGTATCATTGAATAAAATTGGAGCTTTCTTTTCGAATGAACATTATGCAACTTTATTCTTCAATTTTTCACCCCATTAGGACTTATTTTTTTTATCTTATATCTAACCGCTCATCTCTGTTGCAAATTAGTTTGACCTACTGTGGACTACACGGGAGCATATATTCTAATTTTCAATCAAATAATAATAATTTTTCTTATGACTGACAATGAAAAAACCCAAATGAGTGCATGTATACATGGCTGACTTTTACTGAACTAAAGCAGGTCAACCCTGTAACTTACATGTAATCAGCTGACAGCTTTTGATTTATTGGGGCATTTTTAGCACACTTTAAATAAAGTAAGACGGGAGTTGTATTTAAAGCTTGCTAAATTAACAAATTACTTAAAAAGGAGGGACTTCTCTTCTTTGACATATGCTGAAGCCACACATGGAACCCATGCCACCCCACACCCATATATACCGTGGGTAGTGTTTCTGTGCCATCTTTGTCCAGGAATGTGGTGAAAACATTCCACTTAGTCGTTTGAATTGATCCTGGTAGGGGCTCTGAAATCTAACACTGGAGCAGACCAAACTGTTTCTTCCTCCCAATCTATATGGACCTTAATCACAGCCAGCCAAGCAGGGATCCTATCCGATGGTAGAAAGTATTAATTTTCTCCACAAAATAAGCCTCTTTCATTAAGAACAGCCAAGACCCTCATATGCTAACGTCCATCCACACACTCGGAAAAGCTTAAGATCTGAAATACCTCTGCCAGCTTTGTGCTCCGAGTCTTTCTCTCTGTGGCTTCCCTTCATCCTATGGTTGTCTAGACACCAAAGAATAATCTCCCCCATCTCTGGGCCCCAAAGACAGACTTCCATGTGGGAGTCTGTCAGGCTCTCCCACAGCTGCCTCCAGGAGCATTAGATTTCACCACATCTAAGGTAAATCAACATAGATCTCCTAAAATGTTTTATCCATTTTAGGTATTCTATCAGACACTGTTATATAATACTGTTTGTTACCATACAGGAATAATATCATCAATCATTTTTAAGCAGTAGACAGAGAATGTGGAGGTGCATGGAAACCAATTTTGGACTCAGAGCAGAGAAAAACCAACATGGAGCCCAGATATGGAAAAAGATTGCAGTAATAATATAATATGGGCTGTAGCAATATATAATATCTGTGAGCGCTATCTCACAGCATGAGGTTGTTATCAGTCAATCATTGAGCAGAACTGCTTTATTCTTTTCTTTTATCATTCTTTTTATGACATGCCCTGATTGGTCAGGCACGTGATTCACAGGATTAACCAAGTACAGACAAAATCATTGGGTTGGTTTATCCATTAACAGGTTTTGAAATGACTCTCCGGACAGTCTATTGGGCAAAGCTGCCAAACCTGATGAAATCAGATGCAACAGCGCAGCCATAATTTCTTCAAAAAATTATAATGTTCAGTTTTGATTGTCACAGTAACAAAGGAATTAAATGTAACTATATTAAGCTAATAGGTATCACAGTTCACTACACAATTATACTGTGTGTGACAATGTGTGACAGAGCCGCTCTACTGGATTGCATTAAAAGGCACAGGTGCTGCTACAGCAGTGTACAGTGTATAATATAGTGCAGTGTATACCAATATACCAAGAATACAATATGTGATTTTCTAATTTATTCACCTGCTTAAAAGGAATCGAATTGCATGTTCTGGGTTTACCACAAGCCACCCACACAAACACCTCTAAAATGTCGTCACAAACAAACAGCCGCACTCCTAGAAAACACACGCGACCTTCTCCTTTTGCCAGGGCACCAAAAATGGCGCCTCCTGGTGCTTGTAGGAAGCAACGATGCCCTCTTATTAGAGAAAGTAGATGTCCTTTCAGCTGAGCAATCCCCGAGGGCATAACACAAGCTGAGACCCATCTCTTACATAATGCTTGAGCCACTGTTGTGTTGTTTTAGTCTTTGTGTATCAAGTGAAATTCCTGTCCCTACCTCCAGCATGCTTCCACCTATCTCTCCTCTTGCTCTCTTTTGCTTTTTTTTATTATTATTTTCCTCTTCTCTCAGCTCTATTTTTACTCTGCGTTTCTTCTTCACTGTGAGTCTGCCCTGAAGCTGGGCCCCAGCTTCTGCCCAGCTCAACTGGAATGGGGATGAAAGCTGACTCACATATTCATTAGCTCACATGGCTGCACTCTCTTCCACAAATAAAACTCTTCTCTGGACGTCTCAGGACATACAGGACATATGCACGTATGCAACAACTACACGCAAAATGTATCCACTCATTTAAGCCTATATGTCAGAAAATATTTCTCAAAATAGGATATGTGACTCCTGTATTTTTTTGCAACATTTTAGAGATTCCTCTCCAAATATATTTTAAACAAACTAAAATATTGCTCAGTCATTGCCGCAGAGGGACAGTAATAGGTCAAACGCCCCAACAGACATGAACATGTTGTCACCAGAGACAGTCACTCTAGCCCCAAGCACTGACAGCAGATAACTGCAATCCCTGCTATAAAAAAAACAGCTGACACAGTCAACCAATGCCTATAGATAAACATACAGACACCATGACACTTCACAACCTCCCAGTCAAAAGACTTTTTATGATCCAACAGAGAAGAATACTGTTCTGGCGCCATTTTTACATTTTTTAATATTTTTTTGTGTGCATCCTTTGACCTTTTCAAACATGCGCACAAATGCCAAGATGTGTTGGCAAATGGTGTGACAAGAGCCAGGAGGCTTGACAGAAAGTATTCACCCAGGGAAATAGTGCAATTTGTTCTGAAGTTTTGAAAAAAAAAAAGAAGAAGAAAAAAAAAGAGAAGGAAACTGGCAAAAGCATGTGCAATCATAGACAGTCTATGCATGCCACACTGACTTGAAGAGCAGCATCTTCTAATGTGTACTGCCACCTAGGGGCCACTTTTGGCAACATTTGGCAGAACTAAACAACAGTTTCCCCACTAAATACTTCCATCCATCCTTTATCTATCCATTCATCCATCCATTATCTATACACTGCTAAATCCTCACTAGGGTTGCGGAGGCTGGAGCCTATCCCAGCTGAATCAGGGTGAAGGCAGGGGACACTCTGGACAGGTTACCAGGGCCACACTTAGAGACAGACAATCAAGCACACTCACACCTACAGATAATTTAGAATCACCAATTAACCTCAACATGTTTTTGGACTGTGTGGGAGGAAGCCGAGAACCCAGAGAGAACCCACGCTGCACGGGGAGAACATGCAAACTCCACGTAGAAAGATCCCGGGTGTTCTCACCTGGAGGCGAACCGGCGACCTTCTTGCTACAAGGCAACGGTGTTAACCACCGAGCCACCTTGCAGCCCCCACTAAATACGTAAGAGTAAATAAAAAGAAGCATGTGAAATATTTCATCTTTATTGTCAAAAAAAAAAATCTCTATTTGTAGCAGTGAACTCATAGGATAGTAGTCAAACCAAATGTTACAGTAAACACCCAATAAACCTGAGAAATTGTACACAATAATCTGCTTTTTGTCATGTTTCTGAATAATAAGTCAGCTGAATCAGAAAAGGTGTGTGAAAATGTTTGGTAATATAAAGTGATGTAAATCCTGATGTAAGAAGCTTGTTTACCTCATCCCACCTTCTCCTTTTTGACAGATATCTTTGCTTTCTTGTGACATGCCGGCTCGGTTTTCAGGTTCTTCACAGTTCCATTATATTCTCTCTTCATTTTCGGTTTCTTGCATGCAGCTATTCTCTCTTCTACATCCTCTTGTTTTGGCTGCTTCAGATGTGCCATTTCTTTGAGGCTTTGGAACTTCTTGAGGTCTGCACAGAACAACACCTAACAAACAAAAAAGAGATACTTTGTGGTTAAAGGGGATTGACTGCAAAAGAAACTCATTGGCAGTTATTGGATAATAACACTCACCGACTGTGCCCAACCAGCATAAGGTCCCCACAGTTTTCTAAAAAAATCTCCTGTGTAGAAATATTCAACACTGTGTTAACAGCTGAAGATGAGCATTACCTGCTGTGTACAATCAGTGTAACCTTTGAAGCAAACCACTAAGCAGGTATGTGAATACTAACCAATATCTCTGTGAAGCTTATCTGTGATGCTCTTTTGTCCACTGCCAGCAGCATATTTATAGTCTCGCTTGGCAATCTGCCAAACGTGTGTGTCGATAGGCACAGCCTCCGACTTATCCAGGGACATCAGACATACACAGTCTGCTACCTGCAAGAAGACACAAAGCCTTGATTACATTTTAATGTTACCAATGATCTTCATAGGTTCTTTGTACATGAATATTGTTTGACTGTATGAGGCAAACACGCTCTCTTCCTGTCGTACCTTGGTACCAACGCCAGGAAGAGTACGAAGACCATCACGGGCCTCCAGGTATGGGACTCTGCGCAAACCGTCAAGCCACTGAGACCCATGGGTGTTTAGAATCTGCTTCGCACTCTGCTGGAGGAACCGAGCCCTGTATCCAAACCCGAGATCCCTGAGGCGTGCCTCTACGCTGCTGTCTGCCAATCATAATATAGATGTGATGAGTATGGATTAGTGTTGTTTATTTTGTGATTATTTGGGCCTTTCGTTTGGTGCTTGTGCTTTCGGCTGGGTGTGTTTTTGTGTTCCAGGCTGGGCAGGGCCGGCTGGAGGAGGATGCTCCCACACTCTCACACCTGCAGCCTATCCAGTGATTAGGCACTGTCACCTCTCTCCACCTGCGCTCCAGATTTTGATTTCACTCAACTATTAATTATATGGATCCTTTCTCTCTATTTTTCTGCAATATAACCAAAGTTGAAACCAGGGTCTCTTGGTTGGCTATGTTTTTAAACACTGGACACTAACATGATGACAGAAGTAAAGAGACAAATAATATATTTGGAGACTAAAGAGACCCACGGTCCTCCTGACAATTGTAAAAATCAAAAGCTGTGTTGTTGACTAGATAATCAATAGACGTGTAGGGACTGTGGCAAAAACAAGCACCTGCAAGTGCAGACAGGGCAGGAAAGTCGTGGTATGAAGTTTGATCCAGCTGGCACAGCGGGGCGCCCAGAGCCTCACACAGTCTCTCCACCATGCCCTGAATACGTGAGATGTGGTTGTTGGAGGTGCAAATGAAGGAAAACAGGCATTCAGTGGGGTCCTGCCGCAGCATTCGCACACCTGGCAAAAGACCAAACAATATATTCAACACATCTGGTAACACAAATGTAGTCATTACTATGTCGTAATAAGCGATATTATGCATGCACAAACACACTGACCAGTGAAGATGTCTGCAATGTGCTTGAAGTGGCAGTCTGCTGCTCCCCACTCCCTGTATAGATCCCCAAGCTTTACATCCAGCTGGAAGTAATCTCTCAGCATCTCCTCTTCCTCCTCATTGTTCTGTACTGAAGTAACAGCCAGTGGCTCCTCCACTTCTTTCTTCAGATCACATTTGAATGTCTTCTCTGCCTTGTTTTCATCCTCTAAAGAAACATCAGCGGTGCTCCCCCTGTCACCTCTCTCCTTCTGTTGGTCCTGGTTTTTGTAAACGTGGTACCAAAGAGTGTCATCTGTTTGGGTCAGAGTCCACACTCGCCCTCTCATCACCCCAGTCCAATGTCCTTCTGCAGTTTCTCTCCAGCTGTGTGATGAGAAATGTGTTAAAGCAGAGACAAAGAGAATGATTTATGTCTAGATCTAAACCTGTGGCGATCGTGATGCAGTTGATGTTAAAAAAGATATGTCTGAGTTTGACCAACCTACCGGAAAGATTGTCCACAGGCAAGAGTGAGATCTAAACGCAGCTCTGACTTTGCACAAGACATTGATCTCCACAGTTTGCCCCCCGATAACAACACCGCATGTTTAGCCATTCCTGTTTTGATGCTAATAGATTCCCCTGTTGATCGTTTAGAGACGTAAACAAGTGTAAAATGACCAACTACAGTGTTCTGGTATTATAAAACGCATTGCAGTGTGCAGTCGCATCGGCAGACTATTTTAGTAAGTAAGTATATACATTTGTGCAAAGTGAGTTTACGGGGTTAACACTGTACTGTTTACGTTCACACCGGCGAGTGTTAATAACTTTCGCGGAGTTTAGTTTATTTCTATCAATAATGATGGACAACAAAGACCTTACCCCGGGTTGGAGCAAGATGTCTATACTCGAAGAAAAGTTTTCAAAAAGTGTCATTTTTGGGTGACAGTAATTCAAGAATATTAACCTAATTTAAATGATAAACGACTATGATCCTACATTCAATAACAATAGTCAGAAAAAATATTAAAATATCAATCTGATGCAACATTACACTAACTGGACTCGCCCCTTCCTCGCTGATGTCAACACAACCGCTGATTGGCTCTCTGGCTTGTAGTAGGCGGTAACTTTACTCAAGTCTATTTATGATTGGTCAGTTCCGTCTCTGCCCGCCGTGTCCTATTGGTTGATATTCTTTCTAAGTCGTTTTTTTCTTTCTGGCGTACAGGAAGTCGTCCTTTGCTTCTTCCCCTGAGAAGAAAAGCCGTGTGCGGTGGTAGCGTGTCTGTGTGACTCGGATATATCCGGTGAATACGGCGGACTAATGGCGGATACATTGACACTTTTCACTTCTATTGGGCTCAGTGAGCAGAAAGCGAAGGAAACATTGAAGAATGAAGCGCTGAGTTCTGCCCTGAAGAGCGCAATTACTCAGGTACGACCTGACGTGTATGGGGAAACTCAGCTGCCTGGAGGGACAGCTGTGAAATGTCACTGACATTCACTTAAATTGCTTCCTTGTGGTACCCACCCTCTGTTTTTCTACGTTTTTAATGCACTTTAGTAATGTGTTCACTGGTGTCCATGTAGCTGACTATATTTGTACACCCTTCTCATAACTTTTATGCGTGTTGTGGCATAGTTATACTTTCATTTTCACCTTCTTCTTGTTTGCAGACTGTCAGTGTAAATATAAGGAAAGCATTGACACCGATTTTCATTACACAGGTTTTAAAGAAGAAAAGCAATAATACTTGTCTTTGCTAATTTATTTCAATAGGCCCAGGGTGTCCATGGGGCGTCAGGAGTGGACAAAGCCATGGGTACATTACTGTACAGCATGGCATCTCGCCTTAAAGACACCAAACGCCTGACATTTCTTTCCGAAAGCATCGCTCTGCGCAAAATCTGCACAGAGCTGCAACTGGCAGGTAATTTTTTGAATGTGTGATACAAAACAAAATGAAGCAACGGTATTAAAAAAAACACATTTGCACTATTCCTAGGATGTGTGAAACCGATTTCTAGTCGTTCATGCAACACAAAAAGTACTGCATTCCCAAGTTTAGCCAGACCAAGTCAGGTTTTCAATTATTTATTTAAACATGATCTTCATTCGAATCCAGTGCTGCTGCTCTGCTCATGTAAATGTCTGAATCAAATCTGAGTAAACTTGACACAAGCTCTCTTTGAGGCTAACAATTGTTAAATAGCTATAAAATACTGAGAGAAAAATATCCCAAAAACCACATCCAATGCTGAAGGAGACTCAGGGTGCGGTAGCAATTTAAGTTCAGAGGCATTGTGACCATTTGTGTAAGCTCAGAGAATGAGCACTGACCTGATGTATGGACTGTCTGTATGAACAAGAGTAGACACAAATGCTGGATAAAATAATTCCTGTGCCTGCCTGCAACCTGATTTTCTGCCACCAATTTCTTTGCAGCTGCATTGGAGTTTGTGAAGAGTCATCCTCAAGACCCCATCAGCCAGAAGGAGTTTGATAAAGCATGTGGAGTGGGCATTGTCATAACACCAGAGCAGATTGAGGATGCAGTAAGTGCATGATCTTGCGATCTGTGTCTTTTTACAAGCTTTATTTGTCGTGGTGTGCTCAGTGACAGTGGAATGTTGCACAGGTTGAGTCTGTGGTCAAGAAGCACAAGGATCAGCTGTTAAAAGAGAGGTACCGCTACAACATGGGACTGCTAATGGGTATGATCTCACAGTTGTTTGTTTAAATATAATCACACCAATTAAAGCCGAGCAGACAAACAAAATGTATAATTTTTTGTGTCCCAGGTGAAGCTCGCTCTGCTCTGAAATGGGCTGATGGAAAGGTGATCAAAAATGAGGTGGACATGCAGGTGTGTTTACAAAAAAAGAGAGAGAATTTTGTTAATACTAGTGTGTCTGTCATTCAGTCCAATTCAATTTTATTTGTATAGCGCAGTTTACGACATATGTCATCACATAGAGCTTAACAAAGTAAGGTTGGCAACGTTGGGAAGATCATTCTGACTGACATATGAAGTTGTTCTTACTCTATAACATAATAAAGTTTGGCTTTTGTCTTAAAGGTTCTACACCTCTTAGGACCCAAAACAGAGGCTGATCTGGAGAAGAAACCTAAGGTAAGACAGCTCACGACATTTACAGGAACATTTCTGAAACCAATATTTATTTATTTTTTTCATGAGACAGTCTAACACATAACCTCCTGTAAAACCCCAATTTGTTGTTTCTGTACAGATTAAATACCTGAGATATAATGTGATATTTGTGAGCTTTTGAGGCATTGGTGAAAATAATTTATTATCCTGACAGAGCCAGGCTAGCTGTTTCCATCTTATCTTCATTCTAGTTTCATATTGACTGTACCAATATAAGACCATTAATCTTCTCATTTAACACGGTACAAGAAAGGGAATACACTGCTCTTTTAATCGCTGCTTCCTGAATGTTTTACTTTCATTTGTGGCTCATAACTCATTATCTTGCAGCCACAGAAAGCTAAAGCAACAGAGAATGACGTGAAAGTGAAAGAGGAGGTGGCCGTGAATGGTAAGCAGCAGGCAAAGTGGGCAACAGACAGGAGTGAATTCAGAGTTTCTTTTGAGTTGCGTGTCTTTTAACGATGTTGATTGGTTCTTTAGGTGATGTGAATTCTGGGGAGGGAAAGTCGCTGATGGAGCAGCTTCGAGGGGAGGCACTGAAGTTCCACAAAACAGGTGAGAAAATACTACGACTTCTGAAATGACATCTCGTTGGAAGTTGAAAACTTAGTCTCTCTAACTGAGTTCATTTTTCATCTTTTGCCTTTCATCAAACAGGAGAGAATTACAAAACAGAGGGCTATGTGATCACACCAAACACAATGAGTTTGCTTAAAAAGCACCTGGAGCTCACTGGTGGACAGGTACAAACTTTATTTAGTCGCCCTAACTTTTGGAAACGAAACATGCTCACTTCAAAATGATCACTTTCACTAATTTGTCTGAATTTCTTTAGATACGCACCCGTTTTCCTCCTGAGCCCAATGGCATCCTTCACATTGGACATGCCAAAGCTATCAACTTCAATTTTGGTTATGCAAAGGTACAAGTTGTTTTTGTCCTGTTTCACATAAGCTGTGAAATCCTTTCTGGTGCAGCTTTCAATCTTTTCTTCTTCTGTAGGCAAACAATGGGATTTGTTTTTTGAGATATGATGACACAAATCCTGAGAAGGAGGAGGAGAAGTACTTCACTGCCATCAAGGACATGGTGGAGTGGCTGGGTGAGATGAATCAACACTTATTTTGATCTTGCGAAAGTGCTGTCAGGTGCGTTATACATTTACCAAGCCAGTTACTTATCAGTGTCACTGTATTACACAGGCTATGAACCGTACGCTGTAACGCACGCCTCTGACAACTTCCAGCAACTCTATGAACTTGCTGTGGATCTTATTCGAAGGTGAGTGTTGGATGTACAGTTTGTGAAAATGTGGGGAAGGATGGCGTTTGATTCATTTTTTCATCTGCCCTCAGAGGTCATGCGTATGTGTGCCATCAGAAGGGTGAGGAGCTGAAGGGCCACAACGTTCCTCCTTCACCATGGAGAGACCGACCCGTAGAAGAGTCACTGGTGTTGTTTGAGAGGATGAAGAAGGGCTTGTTTGCAGAGGGAGAGGCCACACTCAGGATGAAGATGGTCATGGAGGACGGGAAGATGGACCCTGTGGCGTACCGAATCAAATACACGGCACATCATCGGACAGGAGATGAATGGTATGTGAAAACCTAAACTGTTGTCCTTTTTTTTTTTTTTTTTATCATCCAGAGTTTCATTTAACTATAATGTCTTACTCACAACAAGTTTTGCATTACTTTACTCGCTTAACTTGTCTTTTCCTGCAGGTGTATCTACCCCACCTATGACTACACCCACTGTCTGTGTGACTCGATTGAAGACATTACACATTCGCTGTGCACCAAAGAGTTTCAAGCCAGGTATAAATTCTTTAATCTGCATTAACTAATTTCAAACTTTGTCAGGAGCCTTCTGTATGATGACTTTGTTTTTTCTTTTTTTTTTTTTCTTCCTATCTTTGTTTCTCAGGCGTTCATCATATTACTGGCTGTGTAATGCTCTGGATGTGTACTGTCCTGTTCAGTGGGAATATGGGCGTCTCAACCTCACCTACACTGTTGTGTCCAAGAGGAAAATCATCAAACTGGTTGAGACTGGTGTTGTCAGGTAAAATAGCACTTTACCGGAGTCACTTTTATGCAAAAATCGCAGTGCTGTTCTTCCACTTCCACACTGCCCATATTTACATCGATACTTTTAGATACATAAAACCTGCAAGAGCAAACGGTGCGGAGAGCAAAAGATATATGTTTTTTTTTTTTTTTTTGTAGCTTACATGCTAAAAACTATAGGGCCATATGTAGTCCTCAAGATGTCTAGAAAAGCTTCTGATAAAAAACAAATATTAAACAAGTAGGGGTCCTCGGACCCTAAAAAAGAAGGCAGGCACAATCTAGACTGACAGTGTTGTGTAGACCTTGTTCTATGGCTTACTTTGTGACAGCAGTGTCCACATTGTGCAGAACTAAGTGGAAACGTCATAACATTTTTCTTGCTTCTGAGAAAACTAAATGTAAACCACTGAATTATATAATTCACCCACAATAATCCACTATATAGTTGGCAAGAATAATTCCGAAATTATACGCTATGCATACAACATTCGAGTAAGACTTGCAATGCTAAATATTGGTTGTAGGGAAGTAATGG